ACTGCAAAACACACTCAAATACACAACAATATTGGCTTTAAAAATAAAACTCTACACAGAGAATGAGAACCACCCTACCAATTACCTACATGTCAATTATCCTGTGCACTCACTGCTGTTAATTACCTAATTGCTTGTCTGTAGTACATCATTTAATTGTGGTACTCTTCCTTACTGTCCTAATGATCTGCAGAAGACCCAATCCCCTGGCACCCGGGAAGTGAAACCTCATCTCAGGTTGAAAGGAAAGTAGATCCCAGTGGGATGCTGACTGAAGAAATGGATCTGCTTATAAATCAAGGGGGAAAAAACCAAGAATTCAGAATCTTCTAGATTGGAGGTGGAGGTAAGGGATGGGTAGTGGGGAAAAGAAAGGGGTAAATACCAACTGAATGATTCTTACAAGCACTAGATCACTTTTATTTTTGTTTTATTGTATATGAGATTCTCAATCATTCTAATTAGGAAGGACTCATATTAGGTCCTTCTTAACTGTTCAGCAACTTGCCTATGAGTTCATAGCTAGTCAGTAGCCAAACCAGCACTCAAATAGGTTCTTAGACCTAAGACTGCTCTTTCTATAAGTTGTTCTCATGGCCTGGTTTGTCTGCTGCCCAACCAAGCTGTAATGTCTCCCCAGAAACATACTCTGTGCCTGTCACTACTAAGGGAACACTTCTTATGTCTCCTAATCTTGGATATGGTTGTGGTTTTACTATGCAAGTTCTGAGTGTGACACTGATGTGACAAAGGCCATCCTAGATACACAGGAAACAACCGTGCCATCCGGAAAAAGTCAACACACTGGAGGAAATCAAAGAATACCGCCATGGGAAGAGCCGACAGTCACACTCCCAAAGACCAGCTACAGGATGTGATGCTGTTTAGCAGGAGCAGCAGCATTGGAGTCTGCCAATTTAGTAGCTGGGTGAAAGGGATTCTCTTCTGCACAGGACCCTAGTTTATTCCCACAAAAAGTGGGAACATTAGTGTCATGAAGCTGCTCTGAAGGTTTCGTAAGCTGACATAAAGCACACACCAAGCCAGGCGAAGTGGCTCACACCTGTAATCCCAGTGGCTTGGGAGGCTGAGGCAGGAGGAGCTCAAATTCAAAGTCAGCCTCAGCAAGTTAGGAAGGCCCCAAGCAACTCAGTGAGGCCCTGCTGCAGCTTGTACTGTCTAGAGTTCGAAATAATTTTACTATTGATAGTGAGCAAGTCTGATGACAGAGGAAGACTTGGGGCCTACAGGAAAATAGTTTTAGAGCTTGGTACCCTAGATAGTCAAGAGTTTGAGTTGTATAGGTTTCTACCTTCCTCTTCTTTTCACTATTAACTATAGCTACCTCCTTTAAGAAATAAGGATGCTGAGCTCCCCACATAGTGTTCCTCTTGGCTCCCTGGTGACTGCTTCAAGGTCTCAAGATAATCTGATTTTTCTCTCCAAGAATGGAACTGATCAAAACAATGGGCAAGTATTGGCCTCTCCACTGGCAGGAGCTGAAGGGACAGCAAGGCCCATGCTGGGTTCCATTTTCTACAGTGGCCAGTTGCTCCTCTGTTGCAAAAAGTGCAGAGAACCCTGGAGCAATACACATACCGCAGAACATTCTGCAGAGCAGGAACTCTGAGCAAAGGCAGGGGATCTGCCTTCTGTTTATTTTTCAAAAAGTACAAGACAACGACTAGGATAGCACTCAAGCAGATCAGACAAAATAACAATCACCCACAGCTTAACTAGCCCTTAAGGACTAGTTCTAGGCTCTGTAAGAACTTTTTTTTAAGTATTATCTTATTTAATCCATGGTCCTACAAGGTAAAATTTTCATCGTTTTAAAGATGACAAAGCTTTCATAACTTGTCCAGAATTGCAGTAGCACTAAGCATCAGAGAAGGACCTAGGTCAAAGTTTTATCTGGCTCAGCAAGCAAAACTAAAGGTCTGAATGCCAAATTGGCTTCCAGGCATCTCCTTCTTCATCTTTGCACATGTCCTCGTCATGTGACTTCAGTGGAAATGGAAGGAGTGAAAGGTCCCTTCCTGAGTTGAATCCCAAGAGCAGTGTTGACAGCTGGGTGTTGCTTATATACTTGAGTTCAGGGATAGAGAAATGAGGCTTAGAACACAGACTTCTGAAGGGGCCAAGAGGTGGTAAGAAGCAGGAAGTTTCCTGGTCCAGAAATGATTTCTGACTCCAATTCTTTAATTACCAGCCCAGCTATGTAAACTTCCTATAAAATATCACATTTTTGACATGCAAGTGGTAGGGACATGGGAGACAGACTGGTTGGCTACTGAGGCACTTTCCAGTGCAGAGTTTTTGCTATGTACAGGATGAGGTCTACAGGATCAAACAATTCCCCAAACAGATGTCTAAGGGACTGTGTTCTCAGAAATCTTAGCAAATAACTTGCTTGATTTTGCCAAGATAGAAACAGCCCCAAGAATATACTTCATTTTGCCAGACCGAAAAAAAAAAAACTACAAGAATAATTCATGTGTATAATGTTCTCATCACCCATGCCCCATGCAACTAGAAATTGTTTCTCAGAAGGACACAATTGGAGACAAAAATGGCAATACCAAAATGACAAGTCTCCTTTTGCTAAGAAAAGAATGGCTACCTCTTTATATCAAGGCTCTCACTAAAATTCCTTTGGATTAGGACCAGACTCATAGGCACTTGAGATGGGAAGAAAATTTGACTCTCCATTGGAGGCCTAAGTTCCTTCCACAATGTTCCTGGGCACAAATAATGGATACCCTCAGGTCAACAAACCTGAGACCACTCAAGGCAGCCCGTTTCATGCTTTGGGGGAGCACTGCTCTTTTAAAGAATATTCTTACACTGTGCCAAAGCTGTCTGTCCATAGTTTTGCTTCTTCCTCTGCAATTGTGGCTCTATAGACTCAGTCCTTCAAAGCTGTGGTTTCCAGTCTTCTCTTGTTACAAGTTGTCAATCACTCTGTACTTATAAAAACGAGCTGACCCCCGAGGGTTTATTCTTTTTGTTGTCTTCTTAAAGACAGTTATTCCAAGATGATTGCATCTCCAAATAAACTAAACTGCATATTTTTTCAACTTATATTATCAGCAACACCAAAAGCTGATTATAATCAACTTGCTTTCATAGAAAGAAGGAATAAATCAAAAAATAAATTTTAAGAAAATCCATTTGGCTAAAAGTATCACCAGCTAGCATTCCATGTTCTCAGACAACAGGTTTCAAATCACAGATCCCTAAAAATCATCTAACCACAACCTTACATTTTATGAGGAGGAAACCGAGGCTTAGAGAGCTCATTTCTTTCTCCTTTTCCACCCTCAAATGCTTGGTACTCAATTAAGCACTCTGAGATAAGAACTCTCAGGTCTCTGAGTAGGAATTGGCAAAGCAATGAAATGCAGGGGGTCTGAAAGAGGAGGAAACACAGTGGTTGGGTAATCCAACAACAGGTAATTCAAGCCTTGTACAAAGAACTTAGAGAACAAAAACTTGTTTCCTTTCTCTAGACCTTGTTCAAATTGTTGCTCCAAGTAGAACACCTGCCCTTCTGTTTGGGAAACGCATGCTTTGGACTCAGCTTATCATCTCCACACTTTCTCCCTGACTCCCCATTTAGCTGCTCTACCCCTGTATTGTCCCACAATGCCCTGGGTGAATTGCAATCATTGTATTAGCATTGCAAACTGAAAGTTACCTTTCCATGTTGGATCCATTAGGCTTTAGATCCTTGGAGACAGAGAACTGAATACCATTTGGTTTCATTTTTTTATAGACTACTTGGCACACTGGGCATGGTCTAGTTCATTTGGCTATTCAGGGTGCCAGGTGTGGCCAGGAGTGGCTGAGGACAGGGATCGGGAGTTAAGCTTGGGTCACATGTGGACAGCACACAGAAGCCATGCTAAAGCGTACTGACACAATCCTGTACAGGATCAGATTATTTGAGTGAGCATGAGAAGAAAGCACTGAACAGAGGATGGACATAAGGCAGGAAGGTGATTTGGTAAGTGTGGAACCCACTGCATGATCCTGCTGATTCTGGGCTATAAGAAAGGGGCTTTGTGTTCTTAGGAAGAAAGTGAAGTATGATTTCCGATTTGACAGCTTAGGTGGAGCCAATAGGATCTGACGAGAACCCAAGGCATGGGGGAGAGAGAGGAGCAACACTGATACTAGGATTTCTCACTTGGAACCCCAGGACAAATCAGACAATGTAAATGAAAACAGAGACCACAAGACCAGAAACAGGGTAGAGGAAGGACTAGAGATCATTTGGGGGAAGATTTTTATGAGTCTTTCCAGATGTTTATTTTAGGTCCAGAACTACTGAGTTACTGATTTAACCAAAAGAGACCATTGAAGTACAAGAAAACCAATCATGAAAACCTAAAGAGGACAAATATTTTAATCCTTATAAAACACCTGGAGAAATTTTGATGATTTAAGCATGAAAGAAATAATTTCAGAGGAGACATGTTCCAGATTCTTAAACTGCTGATCAATTCTTTGGCAGCCGTATACAAACTATTCTCTAGACAACAAAATTCCAGGTCTTTTTCCATTTCCTGGGCCCAATTAAAGTATCTTTATATCTTTTTAGAAAGTGTCATTGCCAGTTGGCTGCCATACACCACTCAGTGGGTTCCAGTCCTGGGGAGAACTCAGTTTACGTTAATTAAGTAGCTCCATGCTGCCACTTTATTGGTGAGCAACCTCATGTTTTACTCATCTTTTCCCAATGCTAGAAGGTCTAGCTAGGAAGAAAAAGCCTCTACCATGCATTATCAAATGCCTTTTGCACCAAATCCATCCATCTTCTAATCAAGCAACATTCCCTCTCTCCTCCATCGGAGAGCAAAAACTTTGCAGAGCAAGAAACATGCAGAACCTTGTTAGCATCCATTACTCCACTGAAAATAAACAGCACAAGGACTCTCCTGGCTTCCAAAGTGAACACGGCAAAGTATAGAAAAGAACTAAAACTGTCAGCTCACCCTCTTCCTCAAGTTGTAGGTGAGGATCAGGTTCCGGGAGAAGGAGTGGGAGAAGGCTGTGTAGAACTCCAACACTTTCTGTAGGGCATCCCGCTTGATCACATGCAGGTCACAGTAGGTCAAGGCCCTCACGTTAGCACAGGACTGGGCAAGTGTGGCTTCCTTCCAAAACACATCTCCAAACACGTCTCCTTTCCCTAAGGAGAAAAAGTTGTCATGAGCAGAAAGTCAGCCGGGAGGGGACCTGGCCATGCAGCTGGCTTCCCTCCACTCTCCAGAACTGATGTCCATTTGACGTTCTACAGTTTGGGCTCAGGAAAGGCAAAAAAGGATTTTAATTTTAATTTTAATCTTAACAACATGTGACTTAAGAAACTTGAAAAGATCACATACTACAATGTTCACGTTTAGCCAGTGGGGTTAGAATTCACAATGTCACCCCCTTGAAGGGTTATCCCTATCACCCTACTGAAAGGAATCCCCTTCCTATTATCCTTTGTCCTAATTCCATTTATCCCATAGCACCAATCAATCTGTAATTTTATTGTTTGTTTGCTGGTTTACTGTGTGTCTCCCAATTTGAGAGTTCATGTGACATTCCTCTATGTAATAGTGCCTGTCACATAGTAGGAGTTCAATTAATATTTGTAGGCAGAAGAGAAATGAGGGAAGAAAGTAGACTGTGGGTCTACATCAGTGTGACTGAAAGGTGAATGGTTAGACTGCTGGTGGGGAGGGGTGGGCTCTATCAGGGAGAAAAGAACAGGACAGGTCTCTATGTGAAATGATCTACATAGAAAAGGTCAGGCAAGTGTGGATTTCAGCACCCCCCCCCCACTGTCCACTGTCCTAAGGTTTATATTTATGTGATGCTTCCTTTCTCTCTCCCATACCCTCTTCCAAAGAATGTTCCTTACCCTTTACAAATGCCTTCATAGTAGCATAAAAATGCAAGCCTAATAGAATTATCATCTCCAGGAACTACCTCTAGAGCTCCACCAGTACATTTAATAAATCAAGAGCAATGTTACAGACTAAATGCTAATGTTCCCCCCAAATTCGTATGTTGAAATACCAACCCCTAATGTAATAATATCATGAGCTGAAGCCTTTGGGAAGTGGTTAAGTCATGAGGGATCCCATGAATTCTCGCATGAATGGGATTACTATCTTTATAAAAGGGATCCCAAAGAATTCTCCGGCGCTCTTTCTGCCATGTGAGGCTATACTAGGAAGCAGGCAGTCTGCAAGCTGGAAGAGGGCTCTCATCAGAACCCGACTATACTGGCACCCTGACATTGAACTTCTAGCCTCCAGAACTGTGAGAATTTTCTGTTGTTTATATGCCAATCCAGTCTGCGGTATTCACTATAGCAGCCCAAACTAAGACAAGTACTAATCCCACGTAGAAGTTTGACTCAGAATACGGCTATCAATCTCCTCTAAACATCTGCTCTTCCCACCTAGGGATATTCTTCTGACCTTTCCTAAAGACTAATACTTCAATGTACGTCCAATGATAAGCCTAATTAATTCTGGCAGAGTCTCTGGCTATAAATACGTTAAAATGTTTACCTTGTTTCTAAATGGTCAGCGCAGACACACCACAAATTTAAATCCCCAGAGAGAAATATTCAAGGGATAGGAAAAATGTTACAAATGGTGAAAAATAATATATTCAAGGGAGCTGTCAGCCTTCACATCCAGATTATCCAAGCTCTGGAGCTGGAATCCAGGAACCTATGGCTCATGTGATTAACAGGACAGCTGTCAATTAAAGTTTAGGAGGCAATTATACTTTCAAGCTCATGTACAGAGTTGGCTTTTTTTTTTTTAATCAAACACCAGAAAGTGTCCATTCCAAGAATATAAGATACTCCACGGATACAGCCTTGTCTAAGTACCTCCCAAATGCAAGCAAAAACCAAACGGACCAGATGTGTTACGTCATCTCCCTGTTGTGTCTGTGGTTCTAATATGAACATGGTTTGACTGGCTCAATGTAAGTTGGATACAAGCTTGGCGTAGCTTCTAGGTAAACACATCTTTGAAACTGTGCTATTTACAGTCCCTTAGCAAGTTCTTTTTTCAAATATCTTTAATATAGGTGGGATAAGTTATGGCTGGCATCAATGGTTGGAGCATTTTTTTTCTGTGGTATGCTACTGGCTGTTGTGGAAATGGGTCCATATAGAACTCTCCAGCACCGAATTCTAACCATCAGTGCTGCCCAACTCATTTGTAAGTATTAAACATGCTTCTACACTGTCCACAATAACCTATGTGCCCTGTATAGTCACACAGTCCTGCTCCTCCAGAGAATGCCCTTCCTCTGAAACAGTAAGGTAGATAGTTTTAAAAAAGACTCCAACCATTCCCTTCTCCACTGTCGTCACATGCTGCAACTCATACCAAGAGGAGGAGCTTAATTCTCCTCCCCTTAAATCAGGGTTGGCCTTAGTCACTGGATGAATAAAATCTGGCAGAAATGATATTCTGGGATTTTGAGGCAAGGTCATAAGAAGCCTTGTGACTTCTGTCTCTTGGAATACTTACTCTTGGGACTGTCTCTCTTAGAATCCAATCATGATGTGGGAAACACAAGCTAAATAAGGGGTCACATATAAGTGCAGTGGTCCTTAGCCCAGCTGAGCACTCAGTTGACAGGCAGCCTCAACCGTCCACCATGTCCATCAGCCATCTTGCTTTCAGATGATTGCAGCCCCAGCACAGAATGGCAAGCCTTCAGATGATTGTAGCCCCAGCACGGAATGGCAAGACAAAAATTTTTAAGCCATCACATTTATGGATAATCAGCAACAGATAATGGAGAATATACAGAAGTGTAAAAGTATAGGGCGAGAAGCTTGTGAGACCCTAATAGGGTAGCTCAGGGAAACTAATACATTCCCTACTATTTAGCAGAACATTCCAAAGCTTCCAAGCTCTAAGCTCCGAGCCACATCCTTCTCTGGAGAAATGAGACAAGAAAAAAACAAGGAGTAGCTTTGACAGGGGAAGATTTTCCTGGGCATACAATCAACTCAAATCACTTAATGACTTTCAAAAGTTATTAGGAGACATAAATTGGATAAGGCCTTATTTAGGTATACCAACAGGAGAGTTGGGACCTTTATTTGATATCCTAAAAGGTCCATCAGATCCAAATTCACCCCGAATGTTAACGCCTGAAGCAAGAAAGGCATTAAAAATCATTGAAACATATATGGAAAATATGCATTTGGATAGAATTGATATAAGTTTGCCTTTATTATTTATTGTACTACCAACAAAAAATATTCCTACAGGAGTATTTTGGCAAGAAGGTCCATTATTATGGATACATTTATCTTATTCTCCTAACACTATTCTTATTAGGTATCCTGAGGCTGTAGGACAATTAATACTCAAAGGAATAAAAGCAGCAAAGGGAGTGTTTGGAATTTCTCCCAATAAAATTATTACTCCATATACTATGAATCAAATTGATGAGTTAGCTAATGAGTTAAATACTTGGGCAATAATCATGTGTAAATCTAATGTTTCATTTGATAACCACTTACCATCTAATCCTTTATTGTCTTTTTGGTCATTGCATCCTGTAATTTTTCCAAAAATGACAAGAAAAACACCTATCATAAATGCTCCAAATATATTCACTGATGGGTCAAATAATGGTACAGCAGCAGTAGTTACCCCTGATCAAACTTTTACATTTTTAGTACCCAAACAATCAGCTCAAAAGGTAGAGCTTAATGCAGTTTTACAAGCTTTTGTGATGTTTAAAGATTCTGTATTTAATTTATTTTCTGATAGTCAGTATGTAGTTAATGCTATAGTATCTCTTGAAGATGCTGGTAGGATTTCCCCTTCTTCTACTGTTTTCTCTTTGCTTTCCACTATACAAAGTCTAATCTGGGACAGAAAAGATCCATTCTTTATAGGACATATCAGGGCACATACAGGATTGCCTGGAGCCCTTAGTTTAGGCAATGATTTAGCAGATAAAACTACACATGACATACATATTTTCTCTACACTAGAAGAAGCTATAAATTTTCATAAAAAGTTCCATGTCAATGCTAATACTTTACAAAAGCGTTTTAAAATAACTAAGGAACAAGCTAGACAAATAATAAAACAATGTCAAAATTGTGTGACCTTTTTACCACAAGTTAATCTTGGAGTCAATCCTAGAGGATTGATACCTAACCATATTTGGCAGATGGACGTCACACACTTGCCAGAATTTGGAAAATTAAAATATTTGCATGTTACAGTTGATACTTCTTCTGGATTTTTGATGGGCTCCCTTCATGCCGGAGAAAAAACTAAAGATGTTATAGCTCATTGCTTACAAAATTTTGCCACTGTGGGTGTTCCAAAACAGTTAAAAACAGATAATGCCCCTGGTTATACTTCTACCTCTTTTAAACAATTTTGCTCAACATTTGGCATTACTCATATAACAGGAATCCCATACAATCCACAGGGACAAGGCATAGTTGAAAGAGCTCATCAAACTATTAAAATGTACTTATTAAAGCAAAAAGAAGGAATTGGGAAGGGGTATATATTCCCCAAAGATAAACTTAAAATAACCCTTTTTACTCTAAACTTTTTAAATTTGGATTCATCAGGACTTAGTGCTGCAGAAAGGCATATGTGTCCAAAAAATGTACATAAGCCCAAGGTACTTTGGAAGGATATTCTAACAGGACAATGGAAAGGTCCTGACCCAGTAATTGTCTGGAGTCGGGGGTCTGTTTGTGTGTTTCCACAGGGAGAACAGCAGCCGATTTGGATTCCAGAGAGATTAACCAAGGTCCTGACCCAGTGATTGTCTGGAGTCGGGGGTCTGTTTATGTGTTTCCACAGGGAGAACAGCAGCCGATTTGGATTCCAGAAAGATTAACTAAAGCGATTTCTACAGACCAAAAAGAAGATGATTTGGCTCAAATCCATAACAACTGATATCCAAAACTCCAGTTTGGCTATTCTTACATCTGCAACAGAACCAGGATGCTTTTTTCAATATCTATTTTATTATTGCCCTTTGCCATATCATGAAGTTCTATTTTGTTTTTTGAGCTCATACAGACCTAGGTTAATGTTTTGCTGATCAGTTCTATTTTTTGACTATAGAGTTTTTAAACATTGCAATGGAGATTTCACCTGTAAAAAGTTATAAGGCCTT